TACTCTACAGGTGGGTCGCCGTCTTTTTCCTCTGAAGGAGCGGGTGTAGGCAGTGGGTGCTGTTATGCAAAAACCGCGATAGAGTGAAGTCGCGGAAGTCGAAGCACAAAGTGGCGAGGGTTCACTGTATTTTAAAACTGTTTTATAACTCTAGTTTTGTGTACCTCTTTTATTGTTCTTATTTAGGCCATTAACTGTATAAAATCATAAACTACCTTTTGGTATTTTGCTTTTTTTTTTTAATCCTTAGTCATTAGGGCAGGAAACTGGTTGTTCAATATTTGCATCTCGCTACTGCCTATGACCAAATATTGAAGCTCCCTTTCTCTCCTCATTGTAGGCAGAGGGAATGGAGGGGCGGTTCTTGTTAATGTGGACATTGCCTTCTTCCCTGTCAGAGCCCTAATTTCTTGGGCCATGGAGGTGTCCCTCTGGGAACTCTGGAACTAAGTGAAATGACTTCCATTCACTCAGTGTCTTTGGAAAAGGATCAAGATGTCACAGAAAGGTGTCAACGCTTCCTCTCCCTCCTGTATAGAATTTCCAATGGGTGTCCTTTGAGGCATCTGCTCTGTGGGCATCAGTGCCTGTGCGTATTTGTGGGAAATGCAGCCCACTTTCTCATGACCTACTCTACATCCACCCCCACTTCTCCATTCCCCCAGCCCCTGGGCTCTGCTCCCATCACTTCACTCTTTCTCAAAAAAGAAGTGTTGCTTCGGTGGGGAACCATGGGAAGCTTGCAGTTCATCTAGGCTGACACCATTTCTAAAAATTATATATGCTAGGAGTATGTGTCAAATTGCTGAGAACAGCTCTGAAAGCCAAACCCGCTGTTAGCGTGAAGGTATTCTGTAGCTGTGGTTAATAGCTCCTATTAGTTGATTTCCAGTAAATCACCTGGACCTCAAGGACCAGTTGAAGACCTTAAGAGCCCAAGGGTGGTTCTTCTGAGGAAGAAGAAAGTCTACCTGTTGAACGCAACAAGGGCTCATGCTAGAGAATGTCCAGCCTTCCAATCGACCTTCCAGCTTCCAAAATCTCGTAAATACATTTCTTGAAATGAATCTCTAATATATGCATATGTTCCTGGTTCTGTTTCTTTGAGACAATGTCATTTGAATGTTTCTTTCCTCTCTGGATATTTTCTCTTTTAATTGATGTCATCTGATGTATGTGTGTAACTTTAAGATCTATGATACAAATCACCAAATTATTCTTGCCTTAAACTCAAGAACAGTGTCATACATGACAAAATTCTGTTCTATAGCAATAGAGGAGTAAGCAGTATTCCACTCTAAGTGGCGTGCTCCATGGACACTTCATGGAGATTATATGGCTTGTAGTGCCTCGGGACTGGCAGTGCAGGACAGCTAGATCTGGTCAAGGAAATGTTATCCTTACATAATCTGTTGTTGCTAGCTGCTGTTGAATCATCCCAACTCACGGTGATACCACGCACAATGGAACAAAGCATGTAGTCTCTGTCTGGAAGCTCTGCTATAATTCAGCATTACAGCAAGATGCAATTCTCCACAGACAGCTGGGTAGTAGCTAAGCTTGAGAAGCATTCATCAGGATACGAACTTCGGTCCCCCTCATCTAAGTTGAGAATTCTACCACTGAATCACCAATGCCCCCTGAGATAATCTATAACCATTCTTCACACTATCCAAGAGTTTGAGTAAGAACTGGATTTTTATTAATAAAGATGGCTTTGTTTGATCTTAGTCGATAGCGACCAAATGAATCCATTTCCTGGGTCAGTTTCTTTTCATGTAAAGTGAGAATCAAAATGCCAGACACATACCTGTTTTGTTAAAGGAGCATCGTGAAGCACTCGAGGACCATTACCTTAATGTGGGTGAGCCGCCACTCACAACAGGATATTTTTTGTTGTTGCTGTCTTACCCAGCATGTTGCTGAGAAAAGAGTGTTTTTCCAGGTGAGATACTCTACCATGTTTGCGCACACTGCTAACGGAAGTAGCAACATGAATTCTAGTAATTCTAGCAGTTTCTCTTCTCTTCCCTTCTCAATCTCCACACAAGCTGCTCAAATATTCAAGAAACGGTTTCATGAGTGTATGATAAAAGCTTACACTCTGCCTGGAGTGTGCTTTAGAGTCTGTGTGTGAACCAGCAGCTATGATTATTTTCACAATCGACTGTAATAAAAGAATAAGGCTCTCATTGTCAATCCTGCTCTGTCAAATACTTCTCTTTATTAATAGTTTATTCATTAGATAAACTTTCAATTAAGACAGGAATTAATAATGCATAAATGTTAAGGTGCAGGAATTATGGGCCCAGTGCTCTCAAAAAACGGAATATTCAATGATCTCACAAAATGTTTCAAGACTTATTTTAGCTGAGTTTCTTTGCAGTGGAAAAGCAGCATTTCTGCATTTCTGAAGAGAAGGCATAAGCAGACACGCTACATAACAGTACTGAGTTAAGTGAAACCAAAAGGACATTTCTAAACCTCAGAAATGATCAAATTAAGATACATCATTCACATGGAGACTGTAAGAATTCAACACAGAGTTACAACTTTGGCAATGATGCTCTAAATCAATTCGACTTTCTGTCTGCAAAAGCTATGCGTGTGTTTATTCAACCTATTGCTTAAAGCATAAAAAAGAAATCTGGGACATCTATACAAAGGGCAATATCTTGGAAAGGAAGCAACAGTTTATCAAATGATTTTTGGAAGCCAGGGTGAAAATGAGCCACTAAATTACACACATGTACTAGGAAGCCAGTCCTAGCACATCTGAAGGGCCAGGCCAATGTGTTCCCAGCAGTTATCTTGGATGCTGAGACAGTTCTAGATTTGATCTGTGAAAGTGAAGGGTGCAATGGAGAGAGAGCTGTCTTCCGCCAGCATGCAGAGCTGTCTGTGCACAGCTACTGAGTTCATGAAAACAGATGGGGTGGAGCTCCAGGTGATCGTGCCTGGATCTGTGTGCAGCCAAATGTCCACTGTGCTTTCTACCCATCACCTTGGGCCATCTGGTAATTACTGTAAAAGTTACATTTTAGTTCACAAACAATACATTAAAGGACTTTGCGAGTCATAAAATCAGTGAAATGTTTCCTGGAAATTCAAAAGGTTCTCAAATGGACTGCAAAAGAACCCCGAAGCCCCCCGGTAGACGCCTTCTCTGTCTACTGTTCCAAATGCACTGAAAATGCAGTGCTTCCATTTTGAGCAATTACTACTATTGCCCAAGTAGAGGGTCTTGAATTTTCTAAATGGATAGCTCTGTATTATCTTAATACTCCCAATCACTTTAAG